CACGGGCGCTGCAGTACGTACTCCATTTAAGCTATCCTCTCTAGGTTAAACCCATTTTTGCTAAACTCTAAAGGTGGCCAGGTACAGAGGAGGGCTTAATTCACAGATTTTAAATGCATTATTTGATGTAGCTTGTCACATGTGAAGCAAAAGGTTCTACTCACAGTTATCAGGTTGCTGTGACCCAGAAGGAGGGGTCGGAGTGAGTTTCCTTCAGTTAGTGCCTGGACTTCTACTCAAAGCTGCACCTAAAATAAATTATCAGAGCTAAAGGATTTGTTTTCAAAGAATCCTTAAATTTCTGTACAGCTTTTGATGAAGGTCTAGTGTAAAATTTCCAGTTTTATTAGTGGTATGCCCAAAATGAAATATTCTATCCCCCCATACTTTGGCCAATTTGAAATAATGAGAGTTATCAAAATTGTTTGTAGTTGGATACTTCATAATTATCAGTGGATACAATCTGTTTACGGGACACTCTTACTGCTGCACTTTCAGAAGAAGCTGGAAAGAAATTGAAATATTTTTATTAAATTAGACCAAGACCAATTAGTTATAGTAAAGAGAACACTATCTCTAAACGCTTTGGATTGGAATAGTGTGTGTGCTGGAAATTAGACCTTTACTCACTTTCTTGAAAAGTAACAACTGGTCTTGTCTTTCTTGCCTCTGGTGCTGGTTTATCAGCATTCCTTCTAAATGGTTCACTAACTGAAAAATGATGTTACTCTCCAAGGTATATGGGAAAAAATAAAGAAAAATGGGGACATATCTTTAATCAATTTCAATTTAGTACCTGTCTCAGTAGAAGGAATACTAGGTTCGAATCGAGGTCGCTTCGGTGGAGAGGCCAGGTCAAGAACTTCACTTCCATTGGAGTCCCCGCTCAATAAAATATGTTGGAGCTCACAAATCATCTTCCTCATATTCCATAACAATAGTGCCTGAACGAACACACGTCTCTAACACACTCACAGTTGCAGCATCACAGCTTCGGTCGCGTTGGTTTGCACGTGCACAACCGCGAAGCTACCCTACACACACTGCAGCACATGTTTGTGTGTGCCAGGGAGAAACAGAGTTCTGCCTTCTTTCTGCGAATTGCGCCGCACGCCGCACGTGTTCACACACCTACAAGTGTGCGACATTCACACACTTGCGTTTCCAGTGTACCGCTGTTAACGCCTGATGGCGTTGTTATGGCACACGTAGTATCCAAAATAATATTAGTTGGAATATCGCGGTATACCGACCGGTCATGAGACAAAGATCCGTCAAAAGGCTGCCTGGACGCCGAAAATCACGTCAGCCGAAAACTTACTCTTGTTGCGTTGGAGAGGCAGCTGGGCTCGAACCTCCGACCTTCCGCTCTGCGGCCGGGCCCGGATACCACTGACCTACCAAGAAAGATTGCGTCTCGACACTGGTCGGTCGAGACGGCTTGGCTCAGTCACTATGCTAACCAAACCCCTCACCAGAGGCAGAGGTAAGCCCCCCGATTGTACCCTTTGACTTTCACAGTGTGCAGGCCGCAGCCTCAAGCCACCTCAACGACTCAAGTACAAGCGCATGGACGAGAGGCTCCAGCGGCGGGCCAATTTGTACCAGGATTACAAGGAGGAGGAGCGCTGGCTTGACTACTTGCGCGCCTCCGGCCACAATGTAAACATCATGTGAAATACAATTATGTGGAAACGAAAATTATTCTTTTTAAACGAACCGGTTTCTAGTACACGCGCCACGCGCGAGGGGCCAGAGCGTGATGTCGCCGCGACCACCTGTTGGAGTGAAATTCCACATTACCTCAATACCGCCAACAATCGACACTGTGCTCAAGGCCCCGCGCGCCGCCCCTTTGTTGAGTGTACCCAAAACAGAGAGCGAAATGAAGTTCATTTCTAAAATGTTACAGCCACCAAGCTTTTTGGTGGTCAACCGAACTTTTTGCGGTGCACACATTCATGGTACCACACCGACAACATAGTTACCAGGTGGTCAGTGCCTTGGTGAGAGCGAATACCTCTATGTTTAGTGTTGCGGGTCGGCATACCATTTCATGCTGCAGGGGCCATGACGCAATATGGGCTGACAGCATAGGCTAACTTACAACGCATACATCCCCTACAACTGAAAATGTTTACTTCTTTATCAACATTAGGATATATAATTTAGTTGTCATCATCAAGACTTCGTTTCGCAGTTTACACGAAGTGTTAACGTTTTTAAATATAAGTATTTGGGTGCGACATGTCTGGGTACAAATAATCATTATGCCAAACTTCTATAGTACGAAATGACAGGGTGCGAGCTGTCGTAGGTACGAAAATGGTCGGTCCAAGTCGCCCTGTTACACTCTGCACCACCTTCAACTTCCGTTTATCGTATTCTTGGAGTAAATGTGTCGTCCGAGTTCCCGTTATTTGGCAGTTCACATGTCGTACAATAGAAGTCGCATAACGACATAAGGACGATTCATATGCAGGGTAAGCGTACCAAACGGGTGATTTGTGTGCAAAGTGGCCGAAACGTCTGCTGTAGAAATTTCCATTGCAGAAAAAACTGCTGAGTTTTACAATGTAAATTTAGCAAGGGCGCGTGCGAAAACTTTACAGTTTTCTGCTATTTTTCTGCTACAATGTATAGTAACAAACAATTCTTTGACGATGCGCACTTTTTACAGAGTAAAAAGTGATCCTTGACGGTGAGGACGAGCAAGGTGACGCTAAAGCTTAAATGGTATCGCATGCTCTGCCAGATACAGCGGATGTAATCTGCTCCGTGCCTCACGGCAGCTCGGAAAATCCAACCACGTAATGGCAAATGTAATCCGCAACAGTACATCTGTTCTCACCTAAGACCTTCCTTCTTGGCCTGAACGGACCAATCAGTGATAGAAAAAGCTGTCAGCTGATACAATTCTTTGTGATGAGTATGTTGAACAGCCGTGCTTAAGTGCATTGACATTCTGACTAACACCTTTCTTCACGTCATCTGGACGATTTAGAGTTCCCCAAATATAAGCAGCGTGATTTTAACGCCTGACTGATTTTGGCGAAGACATCTGTTACCGCAGCCCTGTCATCGAGAGGGAAATCACTAGGGTTCGTAGCGTACGGACCATTTCGTGGTATTTCCCCTGCCATTTCGATTATTTCTCCTGCCATTTCGTCTATTTCTCGCCTATTTCGGTTTATTTCAGGCTATTTCGGAGTATTTCAGGAGAATTTCGCGACTTTTTCGCGACCATTTCACCGACTATTTCGCGTCTATTTCCGCTTTATTTCGCTCTATTTCGCTTCTATTTCGCCTTTATTTCGGACTATTTCGGGGGAAAGTGTACGAACTATTTCGCAAGTGATTTCCCCCTCGCCTGTCATTTGGCTGAAGCTGACAGACTATCCAAAGCAGATGAATGCACTCTACTAGGCAAAGTTCACAATTAGGGCTGAGCCAAACATTTCACTTGTTTGGTAACAATTAAACTAGGTAGATGTACGCCAGACCACGTCTCGCGTAACAGGCTTCGCGATATCTCACGAAACACTGTTACGCTGCGACGCGCCTGGCATACATCTACCTAGGCCTGCGGCGCTGACACCCGAGTCGGGTAG